TGATAAAATTAATTTTTTTTCAAAATAACAAAAAGAATTATTATTAAATTTCAAACTGAAACCATTTCATTCAATACCAAAAATAGCACATGATTAAATGGTACCAATTTGTGGGTGTTGTGGTGGTGCTAATCCTTTCCTATGCGTAATCGACTCTCAAGCCTAACCTGATTTTTTGTATATCAAAATTTGTCGTTTTGCTAAACTTTAAACCTGCTTTATAGTTTTATTAAAAAGATAAACTTTTAGTTGATCAATCACACCTTTAAAAAGGTTGGTGATGACTCCTTTTATTTTTTTTTTGATTTTAAAATCCTTTACGTCTTGCGGTCCCAAAATCATTACGACAAGCCTAAACTTTGTCTTGGAATAATTTTGGGTTTGTCTTCATCCATTAAGGTAATTTGCATATCCTATTTGTTTTTATATTTATTCATTTATTTCACTTAGCCTTCTTTTAATTTTTTATGCATGTTTAAAATAAGATTTAGAGATTGTGAGTTGAAAATGATAGTAAAATTTTTTGGAAAGTTTATTTTAAAAAAATAAATAAAATATTTTTAATCTTACCAAACTATTAATTGATTTAAATATTGAGTTAAATCTTACTAAACTATTGGAAGATATAATGATTTTTTTTTAAGATAAAAGCCATAAATAAATTTTCAAATAAAAATCACACTAAACTATTGGGGGATGTGCATCGAAATAAAATCTTACTAAACTATTGAAAGATTTTATGGTTTGTTTTCTTGAATATATATTAATGAATGGATTTAAAAAAAAAAACTTTCTTAAAATAAATTCTACAAATGGTTTTTCAAATAAAATCTCTCCAAACTATTGGGAGATCTACATTGAAGTAAAATCTTACTAAACTATTAAAAGATTTTACTGATTATTTCCTACATAAAATATATTAATGAATCTGATGACAAAGCATCTTCAGAGTAGGATACTCGTTTGAATGAATACTTTTGAGGTTGAGAAATTGCTATCAAATTATAAGAAGTAATTTTAAGATCAGTTTCTAATAATTAAATTATTTGGTAAAATCACAAAGATATTTTAAAGCTTGGATAACATGAAATCAAACTGATACCATCCATTGGATGGACACTGTAAGGGTGCTATAACCTTCATCATGCATAACCACATTTTCGAACCTATATCTAGCTTCATAAACTAGAATATATCATTTAAAGATACCTAAGTCGAGTTTAGAACTCCTATTTAAAATGGGATAGATTTAGTTAGGTGGCCAATTATACCTAAACGAAAAAAATTGATGACGACTCTTTAAATCTATGTCTAGCATAGGTCTACAAATCTATACATTATGACACATTCATTCCTAAATTGAAAAGCTTTAAGTATTGATAGATTGGCACTGATGATTGTCAACAACTTTTTCTCTATGAACGGAGGAGAAAGAAGCTGATAGAAAGGAATACATTTGAATTTAGAGGTGCTGTGAATCGTGTTTATTCCATTTTTCTACTTCATTTGATATCATTACCATTGGATTTTGATTTTTTAATATCCTAAATTACTTACAGGTGTTTCAGATCCTCTTTTTCATTATTTAGGAAGATCATCTAATGTTTTTAGGATCTTGATCAACAGGTATGGGTTTATATGCATATTAGGACAAATAAGTCAACTTTTAATGACTTCAATACTTTAAAAAAGGTATGTCTCATTGCTTATTTGACAAATAGTTAATTTTTTCCTTAGTTAACTAGAGTAAGTAACAAATGTTTGCTTATGCAAAAATAAGCTATGCAAAGTATAAAGGATAATATCACAGATGTATCTTATTGAATGAGATTAATAGGATTATTAGCTTACCTATGTATACTGATTGAATAAAGTATAAGAGATTAAGTTGAAGGTTAGGGGATGGTTTGTTTTATTTTTGCAAGTAAGGCATTGGTTTCAATTATAATTTTTAGGTATTTTAATGTTTTAGCTCTTTGTATTTTCCTATTTCAAGCTATTTCTTTTTATTTAAGATTTTATTGTTTCATTTCCTTTTATGATGATATTTCTTTATTTTATTTTTAATTATTTTTTGAATTAATTGTCTGGGAACTTGAAGAATTAACTTACCATTAGTATTGCCATGATGTTTGTATTTTGATTTGTGTAATTGATGGTCTTGCTACTTTTTCCTAGAAACGTCCTAGGAATGCCAAGACCGTGCACTTGAGCTTATGCTCAGCAAAGAGGCATGGGAAAAAGGAATTATAAAAGGAAAAGACAATTATAGTTTAAAGGAAATATGGGCAGGGAAGATTCCATAATAAGAAATTGCAATTTGCATACGTGAATTTGTATTGCCTTGTATATGGAAAACATTAGTATATCTTTAGTTAGTGATTTCACTATTTGACACAGGGTATGGCATGATCCTTGGAGTTATTTGCAGCCTACAACAGAGATAAATGGGAATTTAATTGCATTTCACCATAAAATAGATCAAAAGTGGTGGAGAGCACAAGTATCCTTTATTGGTTTCCTTTTACATAAAGTTTTTGAAGTATTGATTTGGGGAAAGTATATAAAAATATATACTCACAAACACATGCCTTATTTCGTATGAGAATCCCATGCTGTATGGATTATTAAATGGCTATTGTTTGAGTAACTAGAATACCATTGATTTTTCATAGGTTGTTTGCTATCTAATGAGATTTCAAGTAGAGTACACTTGTGGCGTATTGAACATTGCTCGCTATGCTACATTTGGAAAGAAAGTTATAAAAATGATTATTGCAAGTATTGATAGAAAGTAGCCAAAGGTTTGTTCATCCAAGTTTGAATCTTTTAGTATTTAACTTCTACCCATGTAATTGACACTGAGTTAGAGAATCTTCAAATCTCAAGGTTGATGTTATTTTGTTGGTCTTTACATCCATTCCTTCATGTCTAATAGACATGAGGGTACTTAACTATTTGAATGAACAAGAGGGATGAGTTTTTCATTCGCACTCAATTGAATCTTGACCACTTGTTTCTTTGAAGAAATAACTATTATCATGCATGTTGAACTCAATTCTTATTTTGAGACTATTACTTATGATAGCTTTTATGACAGGTGATTAGGAACCAATCAAAGTTGGATATTGAAGAATTTGTGTGGTCAAATGACAAACCTCCTAGGCCATTGCTAAGTATGTATGTAAGAATGGGAGATAAAGCATGTGAAATTAAAATGGTCGAATATGAAGAATATATGGAACTTGCTAATCAAATTCGAAAGCACTTTCCACATCTCAAGAACATTTGGCTCTCCATTGAAATGTTGTTTAGCATTTTGACATTTTTACTCATAGAATGAAAATATTAAAATTATAAAATTAAAAAAAAAAAGAAAAAGGATAAATGTGTTGCTGTCATGTATTGATCTAATATTGTGAATGGTCTAAATAAATTTCAAAAAGTGATCGATAAAACACAATCATATCCTCAATGGAACTTCTACTACTCAAATGTGACACACCAGCTAGGAAATGTATCAATGGTCAAATACGAGGCAAGCCTTGGAAGAAAAATTAGCACGAACTATCCTTTTGTTAATTTTTTGATGGCAGTGGAATCGGACTATTTTAATAGTGCATTAGGACCATGGTGCTTTCTTATAGATGGCATGAGGAACATTGAAGGAAAGATAATGACCTGATATTTAAATGTTAATAAGTATAGGTTCAGGTAATGAAATCTAAGAACTAGAGATTGGATTGGCATGTGGATTAAATCTACAAAAATTTATTTCGTTTATACATGTTTTTCACATAATTTTGTGCCCTTTTGTATATATCCAAATACACACAAACATTACTTGTGAAACATGTAGATATAATAGCTCTGAATACAATCAAAATATGAAGAGAAGCTTTTGAACCAAAATTAGGCAATTCATAACTTTAACAAGATAATTTTTTTATTAAATTACTAATAAATAATTAATTTATATTAACTATATATATCTCTTTAAATTTAAAACTCAATTACTCTAACAAATTGAATGAAGCCGGGCCACCTACACTAATTGTAAATCAAAGGCAAAGTATAACTACCTGATTTTTAATCGAACTGACATCTCTAATTTTGAACTTATTTCAATTTTATAGAAGTTTTGCTCGGTAAAATAGATAGAAAAAAAAAAAGTAAAGATGAAAAAAATTGATAATACAAAAAATATTATAGAACAGGATTACATTGACTGGTCTCTGACAAACTCGTGAGCTTCATGATTCTTACAGCCAATTACCACGATCCATCTACACTTGTTCACCTCCTATGCATCAATATTTATATTTAAGTTATACACTGATACAAAACATATCCTCTATAAATAAATTAAATATATAATATGTCACACGCTTATGATCATTGCAATTGATCGGAACAAATTTAGAAATTTTAGCATATGAATTGAAAGAGAAAGTTTCAAAATTTTTGCTTAAAAAGTCAAAGTAACTTTCAAAGTAACTTCTTTTAAAAGCGTTCATGGACTGGATGTAAGCCTAAACTTGGTCTATTCAAGCGTGCCTATTTAATTATTATTAATATTATATTAACATTTTAAAATTTTTAATAATTTTTGGAATAGAAGTTAAATTATGAAAATACATTATTGCAAAATAATTTAATCGCAACAAGCCAAACTTGAATATAAAATCCTATGCTCAAGAGTACAGTATGATCAAGCGCGGGCTTGAACTGGTAGCCGGTAAGGCATTTGAAGAGTTCAACAGTCAAGCATTTGAAGAGTTCAACTGTCAATATTTCACAGCTGATATTACAAACATTTGAAGAGTTCAACTGTCAATGTTTCACAGCTGATATTACAAACAAAATTTTTAAGAAGATGAACCTTATTAATCTATATTCTTTTCAGATGTATAGTTGAATTTGCGTTCATTATCCAAGTAGGCAGGAAGAAAATTATGTTTACTTGTTCAGATGTACTATACTATTTTAGCAAAGTCTAAACAATTGACAAATTAATAGAATCTTCTTAGAAGATGATTCCATGGACTTTGTGCAACTCATGTGAAGTCAACAACAAAAATAAAACTTTTTGCCTGATGAATTAGTCTTTCCAACGTGTTACTATATGACAGGACTAAATGCCAGAAAAATTTTCTACGCACTTGCCTCCAGAAACAAAGAGAAATGAAGGCAGCCATGGGACTTCAAGGGCGAGCTTGGCATCTTGCACTTATCGGCCTGTTAGTAGCAACAGCTGTAGCAGTATCAACTCCAATTGCTAAGCCTGGGTGTCAAGATATGTGTGGGAACGTTAGTATCCCATATCCATTTGGCACAACAGAAGACTGTTATTTCAGTGAAGATTTTTTCATAAATTGCAGTTCGTCTGATCCTCCACAAGCATTCTTAACAAGAAGCAATATAGGGGTCACGAACATAACTGTCGAAGGTAAATTACTTATTATGCAATTTATAGCCCGTGATTGCTACGATAAGTCGGGTGCCCCAGTTGCCAATAATAATCCTTACCTCCGACTATCCAAATTCATTATCTCTGACACTGATAACAAGTTTGTTGCTATGGGCTGTGATACTAATGCAACCATTCAAGGTATCCAAAGGGACAAGGGGTACACCAGCGGGTGCATAAGCAAGTGTGACAGCATTGACTATGTAGCGAATTATACATGTTCTGGCATAGGCTGTTGCCAGACATCCATTGCTAAAGGTGTGAGCTATTTTGACATATCAGTAGGCAGCTATAATAATCACATTGATGTCTGGAATTTCAATCCCTGCAGCTATGCCTTTGTTGTTGAAGAAAATAAGTTTAATTTTTCTTCGACATATCTTCTTGATTTGCAAGATGAAATGATGCCTGTGATGCTTGATTGGTCTATCGGTAATGAGACGTGTGAAACTGTTAAAACCAAAATTTTGCGTTATGCATGCCAGGGAAATAGCACATGTTATGATGTGGACAATGGTTCTGGATATCGTTGCAAGTGCTTGTACGGCTATAAAGGAAATCCATATCTACCTAATGGTTGCCAAGGTATTTCCACCAATTCAAATTTCCTTTTAGATTTTCTTCAGTTTGATTAATTTAGTGGTAATACGAGTAGCTTCTTTTGTGATGGGATCTATTCTTTCAGACATAGATGAATGTAAAGACCCTAATCTTAATAACTGTGTAAAGATCTGTGAAAATACAAAAGGAAATTACACGTGCTTGTGCCCCAAGGGTTACCGTGGCGATGGAAGAAAAGATGGAACAGGTTGTGTTGCCACTCAATCAGGATCACTTGTAGTTGGGCTTACTGTTGGTAAGGAGTTCTAATCCATTTTTGTGTGACAAGTTCTTTGCTACATTCTTTAAGAGTCCTGTCATGCCCATCTACACTGGTTGGATTGTTTTATAATTCCCAATTCGTTTCTTCTGTTTGTTGACATTAATTATTTATTAGCGAGATTGGTTTCTGCGAAATCAAGGGTCATACACCAAATCAAGTCAATATTTTTTTTGGTTTGTTTAATCAGTGGATAAAGGTCTATTGTGCTTTTCCTCTTTGAATGTGTCCAACCACCAAACTATTAAAACGTATTAATTCGTTTTCCAATGTTAACTATTAGAACAACATATGTTAGATGTTCTTAAACTCCAATTTATTCTCTTATCCTCTGTAATCAAGTAATATAGTTGCAAAGAGGGATTATCAAGAGTCTCAACATGTTGCTTGCATATTAAGTCAATGTCAAATATATGGCTTGTGATAGTTTTTTCGATATCTATGGAATATAGGGATTGGCGTAGGCATTACAGTATTGGTAGCAGGTAGCACTTGGTCGTACTGGACATTCAAGAAGTTGAAGCTCATCAAACTCAAAGAGAAGTTCTTTCGACAAAATGGAGGTTTGATGTTGCAGCAAGAACTCTCCCGGAGGGACTCTTCCACTGAAACAGCTAAAATTTTTTCAGCTGAAGAGCTCGAGAAGGCCACCAACAATTATGATGAAAGTAGGATTCTTGGTCGAGGAGGTTATGGCACAGTTTACAAAGGAACTCTAACAGATGGGAGAATTGTAGCAATCAAGAAGTCCAAAGTTGTTGATGAAAGCCAAATTGGTCAATTCATTAATGAAGTGGTTGTGCTTTCCCAAATCAATCACAGGAATGTGGTAAAGCTTTTAGGTTGTTGCTTAGAGACAGAAGTTCCATTACTAGTTTATGAATTCATTACCAATGGCACTCTCTTTGAGCATATCCACAACAAAAGCAAGGCATCTTCCCTGACTTGGGAAACGCGGCTAAGAATAGCTGCAGAAACTGCCGGAGTGCTATCATATTTGCATTCCTCAGCCTCCATCCCAATCATTCATAGGGATGTCAAGTCTACCAACATACTCTTAGATGATAGTTACACATCAAAAGTATCGGATTTTGGAGCTTCAAGGTTGGTTCCTATAGATCAAGCCGGATTATCAACAGTGGTGCAAGGGACTCTTGGATACTTGGATCCTGAATACTTGCATACAAGTCAATTGACTGAGAAAAGTGATGTTTATAGCTTTGGAGTAGTGCTTATTGAGCTACTGACTGGACAAAAAGCAGTTTCCTTTGAAAGGTTAGAAGAGGAGAGAAATCTTGCCATGTATTTCCTATCTGCTTTGAAAGAAAATCGCTTGGTACAGATTGTTGAGAAATGTATAGTAGATGAAGCAAAGACTGAGCAGCTTAAGGAAGTTGGTAATCTTGCAAAGAGGTGCTTAAGAGTGAAAGGAGAAGAAAGGCCCACAATGAAGGAAGTGGCAATGGAACTAGAGGGACTGAGAATAATAGTAAAGCATCCATGGGTAAATGATGAGTCGAATTTAGAAGAGACAGAGTATTTGCTTGGTGAACTACCTGAGAGAGCTAGTTGTAGTGGCAGTACGAATGCTACCAATGATAGCATGAAAAATCATATAATATTACAAGTTCGTGATGGAAGATGATAGTTTAACGTCAGGATTTTTTTATCTCGTGTAAATGTGGCTTCTAGAAATTGAAACCTTAAATTAAGAATTCAATGTTGAAAATTTTTGTGATAGTATCATGTAAAATATTAAAATTTATATATTTATATTGTACTTTAAATAAAAATTATATATCATAGTTTATGTCAATATAGAAATATAAAATATATATTTTTTATTTTATTAAACCCATATAAGTTATTATTAAAATTTTAAATGGTATCACTTTCTTATCTTTTTTGTATTATGTATTATAATTTATGTCGATATAAAATTATAAAATATATTTTTTTATTTTATTAAATGCATATATAATTATTGTTAAAATTTTAAATCGTGTTACTTTCATATATTTTTTCATGTCATATTAATTTCATATTATTGTATCATGTTTTAAATTATCGAATTTACTTTATGGGCATATCATAATGTTAAGATCTCTTTCTATAACATAGTAATCTTACATCGGAATATTTTAAGGATTTGCTATAATATATAAGTAAAAACTTAAACCTGCATTTGTGAAATATTTTTTGTGAAATAATATTGTGAAACCTTTGGATTAAAGCAAATAATATCTTATAGGTTAATATAAGTCTTCACAAATAGTATCAGAACAGTTACCAATAAGATGAAAGGTAAGTGTTACATTGTGAGAGTTACTTTTAGAATTTTAAAAAAACTAAGTGCTATATATGAGAATCATCTCTAAAATTTTAACGTTCAGTGTGATCTGAGTTTTATGATCAATGTGTATTTTATGCTGAGTTTGACAAAAATTTTAAGGTTTAATGGGAAAATTTGGGACACTTTGATCCATGTCGAAATGTTTTAAAAATCTGTTGTGATAAATAGTAAAAACTTAAATTTATACTTATTAAATACTTTTTGTGAAATAAAAGAATAGTATTTTTAGAGTAAAATAAATAATAGCTCGGTTGAATGGGGTCTTTAAATTTTCTTCCATTCAACATTTTCTTTTTCTTTTTTGTGTGTTGTGTGTGTATGTGAATTGTAATTTGTGATGATTCGATTAGTTGTTTTTTTTTTTTTAGTGATTCAATTGCGTTCTTCAGAGTATGTGTTTTAGCAAAACAAATTAGGGAGGTAGAAGAGGATTATGGCCATAAAATTTTTGTTAGTATTTTAATAATCAAAGACAAGTGGTCATGAGGAAAAAATAAGAATGAATTATACTTTTTGGAAAAGTAATATATAGTACTTTATTGGATTGGGCTCGAATCTACGTGTTTTGGGCTACGTGAAACCAACTACCAAGTATGGTTTATGAAACAAGGAATGCTACTGCGTGAAGGAGAAAAAAGTTGGACATGTTACTTTTAGCAATGAACTTCGATGAGGAACAAAGACCCTGAGAACAAAGACAATGTCTTGGTCATTATGAAGCAATTTTGCTTTTTCAAAGATGGATCTTCAAAGAAATGGTTTAAGTATTTATTAAGTATTGGATTTCTAATTTCTCTTTTTTACTTTATTAATTATAAAAAATTTATTATGAATGGATTGTTAATACTTCGAGTTATATTCCAAATTTTCAATAATTTGTTTTGGTTACATTCTTTATCTTAACAGATTCAACGTGTTGTATCATGATTTAATGCATTTTTATTGGTTGCAAGTAGTATATTTCACAACAATAGTATAAATTAGTAATTTGACCCGATTCAAGGGTAAATTACTAGTAAATTTAAAAAAGATTTACAAATTAGTGTTACTTTATCAATCTTTCAAATTTGGCCCAAAAAAAAAAAAAAAAAACTCCTCCAAAGAGTTAAAGAGTTAAGGAGAATTTTCTTTTTATTACTATCACTATCTCATATTCAATAATAATAATAATAATAAAATTGATATCTAATTTGTTAAATAATATAATTTTATCAAAACAAAAATACCTTGAAAATAAGAAATAAAAGTGTTTAGATCATAAATCTAGGAATTAATGTAAATTAATAACTTCCAATTATTTTGGCTCTTTCACTTTTGTTTGTACAAGCAATTAAAAAAATAGAGTTGATAAATTCAAATGGAGTTGATCACTTATGTTCTTTTAATTAAATTAAAATTTTAAAATGAGAAAAAAATTTGTTATATTCAATTTGAGGTTTAAACCATTATAAATTCACTTGTGACACAAAAATTCACACGCGACAAACGTGCCAGAAAACTAGTAAACTTATAAACAAATCCTAACTTGTCATAGTTTTGATGTAACATGGATTTCCTTTGTGTTTTTTACTCTTGTTAAAATTTTTGGAGAACCCAATTTCAAGATTAAGGCCCCTTCATCAGTTCCTACCTGTAGCCCAACTTTGATTTGACAGCATGAATTCGGACCTCAACTTTATGTAGCTCCTCCGGTGGGACTTCTACCGTAAAATTACATTGAAATTTAGAAACTTATACCCTGTCATCAATTTCCCTATCGACTCAAAGCAACATTTAGAAAGATGAGGTGCAAAAAGGTCATTTAGAAATTTCTAAATCCTATATTTGACGGTAGTAATTTCAATTTGCGTACCAAGAATGACTTGTCTGCAAGTCTTCACATATGAGACAAACTTGAAAATTGATGATAAAAAAAAGGACTTTAAGCATGATTCGTGACAGATTTGAAAGAATAACACACAGGATTAATATGCAAAAATATTAAAATAAAATCTAGATTTTGATATTATGTTAATAATATTATCTAAAATTAATTGATAATTAATGAAAGGATTTTTTTAAAATGAAAATATTTAATTTGAATATAAAATTATAAAATATTTAATATTTAATAGTTATATGATAACATCATTTTAATTCTAAATTATTTTCAAAAAAGCTCATTCTATTGATATTTTTTTTTTATCTTTTAGTTCATCAATCTAGGCGTTATCTATATCTCATGAGATCTTCATTAAAGTTTTTTTATTCAAGTCTCCATCTCAAACATATGTTTTTTTACTTAAATCATCATTACGGGTTTTCATTTTAATTATTCATTTTTTCTTTTGTTTTTTTGCACACATTTTTTTTAGACACTTTTTGCACATTTTTTGTTCACCTCTTTTCTTTCTTATTGCCTTTGCCTTTGATCCATCAATGACATTTTGATTAAATTCTCAAACAATTCCATTATAAGTCTGCTTTAGTTCAATTCATAATTCTTCAATTTAAATATTCACATTCAATCAAAATAAATTTTTAAGAGATATAATGTAGGCTAGGGTGAAGAGTTATGAAAAAAATGGTAAAATAAGCCCCAAAATGTATTTGAAAGGTTATAAATCAAAGTATCATTTCTCGTCATATAGAAGCACCTTGCCCTTTTGCCTAATTCTTTATCAAGTCTCTCTTTCTTTTTTCTTTTTTTCTTTCATTTCTTCTTATTTTCTCTTTCATTTTTATTTTTGCATTTTTTATCATTTTTTAAGAAAAGATCCAAGCACAAACGAGTTTTGTCCTAAAGTCATTAGGGACCCTTTTTTTTTATGAACAAGCATTTTTTTTCAAACTCTTGCCCTTTAGTGTTGAGGGTGATCTTTGGTGGGTTTTTAAAAAGAATTTATATGCTTAAAAGAGGTAGCAAATGGATAATTTTATTCCTTGTGCGAAGGTAGAAAAAAATTATCATTTCTCATTTCAAATATGAATACTTTGCATGAAAAATATTTATTGACTAAGAACAAATTTATGAATGAACCATTGCAAAGCCACATACTGCATTACTTTTATCTTTCAACAACCCCATGCCAATTTTGACTCCTCTCATAAAATCGATCTTTTTTTACTTTAATAATCGCAATAGGTTAAAAGTCTCAACTTATTAATTTCATCAATATGAATGATGCTTTCAACATTGAATCTTGAATCATTGTCATAATTGTTTGAATATTCATTATCTAGAATAGGAGGTGTGTGAAATATGAAAGGATATATTAATGGCAATGAAAATGCATCTATCATTTTATTGAAATAATGAAAGATAAATAAAAAACTAACATAAAAGACTCAAGTACTTAAAGACTTGCATTATTTCATAAAGTTCCTAAAATGATAAGCATTCATAAAGATTTCCACACCACATCACCTATTTGAATCTATCCTTTCGAAGGCTATCCTAAATGTAAACTAGGGTGCTTAAAAGAAGATATTCAGGTCTATATAAACAAAACTAAGTTTAGGAGTCGATTACATGCAAGGAAGGTTTTTAGTACCCCATTACACCAAAAATTGGTACCAAATTAATCATATATTATCTTACCTAAGCCTTAATCAAATATGGTTTTTATTATGCCAATAAATCAATTCCAATCCTTTTTTTATTTATTTACACAACATTGTCATTCAAAAAATTCTTATTAAAAATATCATGCAACTCATCATCCGATAACATGTAATGCATCAGGGTAACAGTATTATAGAATCATACCAATAATTATGTAAAGATAT